AATACGACTACAAAAGAATGCTAATTAGGATGAACAATTATATAATCATACTAATTAGGATGAACAATTATATAAAGAATACTAATGAAGATGAGTTTAATCAGATATAAAGTCACTCCACGTGACATATTATGGCTGACATGATTTGCCACAAGGTTCATTAATTTTTAATGAGTTTTTGAAGTACATATAAAAGCTTCATATATTTATTATGGTGTCAGCAGTGTAAAAAAAGTGTAAGAAAAAGCTTAGGATATTTCATAAAAAATATTAAGAGAGTATTCGGTTAAGTTTCACCTTTGCAAAAGTGGACAAGACAGGATCAACGAAATGCAAGAAAGCTTGGATCGTTTTGAGAATGAAAAGCGTTTTAGGCACTGTCCGGTGAAATGCAAATGATTGAACAAGAAGTTAAAGAGAACATCAGCTTCGTTAGACACATCGGAAAACTAGAGGCTCCTAGAGGAGTAACAAGAAGAGGTTGAAATAGAAAAGGAGATATAAGGAAGGAATTGAAGGTGGTGGAGGGAAGAACCAAGAAAGAGAAAAAGGAAGACCATGTGACGAAAGTGAACAAGAAGAAGCTTGTGCGATTGGGACCCAAGTTGGAAGTACAGTACTCCCGTAGGGACAAAGAAGAGAGAACAACCGAAAAAAGTGTTGGATATGCTGTATTCGATATAAAGGTAAAGTCGTAGATATAAAAATGAGCAGAGTTGAGGCGACGAAACCCCCATGGAGAGGGAACAGCAGGATGATGATTGAGAAATAAAATATGGGAGAGGCGCTATATTGATCAACAGATTTTGTTCGAAGTTCACACACACGATTTTTAGCATTTTTGTTGCTACCTAAACTAGGCTCTAACGCTATTCTGAGACATATTATGTCATGTATCTTTTTGATCGCTTTATATCAACAGCCTGGGGGAGGTTCCTTTGGAATTTTTATCCACTCTTCAAGTGGTGATAGAATACTCATTTTTCTACCCGGATGGCGCTCATCAACTTCTAAGCTTTACCAGCATGTACAATCTTGAACAACTTATTGATAAACCAACGAGAATAACTGAGAACTCAAGTACATTGATTGATCTCCTATTCGCTAACAATAATCATCGAATAGTTTCCTCCGGAGTCCTACACGTAAACTTAAGTGACCATTCTCTTATCTACTGTGTTGTTAAAGCGGGTGTACGTAGAGCACCAGGAAGAGTCATAGAATACAGATCCTACAAGACTTATTCAAAACCATCTTTCCTCGTCGATCTTGTGCATGTTAATTTCGACCGTATTGACGAAGAACAAGACATTAAAGTCGCTGTAAGTAAATGGAATGAACTGTTCACAAATGTTGCCAATCTTCATGCTCCAATTAAGAAATTGAGAACAAAAGGAATCCAAACCCCATGGCTTACTACTGATTTAAGCAACGCAATGCAAGATCGCGACTACCACCATCGCAAAGCTGTTAAGTCAAATTCGCCCTTTCATTGGATGATGTACAAGAAGATTAAATCTTACGTCAATATAAATGTTAAGAAATGCAAAGCTGAATACTACTCGAACCACCTGATCAATACGAATAAAGGAAACACTAGTGCTTTATGGAAAACGTTAAATGACATCTTGTCCCGAAAATCTCACTGCTCGCCATCTTGTAATGAAGCTAATGGTGTTTCTCATACCGACCCAAAGTATATAGCTGAGTCATTAAACGACCATTTCTCAAGCATAGGATCCAAATTGGCATCTAAGATAAGAAATTTGTATCCAAATCGGATTTCTATCAAGCAACCTAGTCAGTTTAGGGAAAATGAATTTGTTTTCCAGCCAATTGAAGAAAGTTATGTGTATGGTGTTCTGAACAATCTTAAAAACCAACAAAGCTGTAGGACTCGACAAAATCAGCGCTAGGTTACTTAAAGATTCTTCCAGTGTTGTAACTCCCATCCTAACCAAACTTTTCAATCGTTCACTCACTTCCTCAACATTTCCATCAACCTGGAAGTCTGGCAAAGTAACAGCGCTTTTTAAATCTGGAGACCAATCCAATGCTAGCAATTACAAACCAATCACGATACTCCCAACAATCAGTAAAGTTCTCGAGAAAGCAGTTGACTCTCAAGTTTACCGCTACCTTATTGACAATAAAATACTAACACCACGACAGTTTGGTTTCAGACCTAAACTTTCCACTGAGATTGCGCTCGCACATTTCACGGACACCATTTTGGCTAACATGGACAAAGGTTTAGTAACCGGAGCTGTTTTTCTTGACCTGGCTAAAGCCTTTGATACTGTCGACCATTCTCTTTTATTTGAAAAGCTTGCCTCATCTGGTCTCTCCAATGATTCTGTCAACTGGATCAAGTCATACCTAAGCAATAGAAATCAACTTACCGCCCTGGCTAACACTGTTTCCTCCTTCAAACACGTTCCTGTCGGAGTTCCTCAAGGTAGTGTTTTGGGTCCACTATTATTTCTTATTTTTGTGACGACACTGTGATATATTTTTCTTCAAACAATGCTCGCGATCTTGAAATGAAATTAAATTCCGATCTAAAACACTTGTGCAGATGGTTTAACTACAATCTTCTGACACTTAATGTCTCCAAGTGTAAATTTGTAATTTACTGAAGTTCTCGCAAAGTTGCAAAATTTGACAATGTTTCCATCACGGCTAACGATTCCATACTTGATAGAATTGACTCCTTCAAATACTTAGGAGTTACAATTCACCAAAACTTAACCTGGTCAGAACATATCGACAACATCAGCAAGAAGTTTAATCAACGCCTTGGTCTCATTCGCCGCATAAAATTCTTACTCCCTATCCAAGCCAGACTCACCCTCTACAACAGCCTAGTCCTCCCTCTATTGGACTACAGTCATATCGTGTGGGGAGATAAAAACAACTCCACTCTAATGAACCACCTGCAAGTTCTGCAACATAACGCTGCGAGACTTATCCTTGATCTTCCTCGCCATTCCTCCGCTATCGAAGCCCTTGAAACTCTAGAGTGGAAACCTCTTTACCTACGTCGAAAATGCCACCATTGTATCTCCGTCTTTAAATGTCTTAACCATCTAGTCGACTTTGATTTTAACCTTACCATAATCTCCCGTATACATAGCCATGGAACTCTTTACCTATTGAACTGAAACAATCTACTAATCTTAATCTCTTTAAATCCAAACTAAAGCAATTTATCTAATTAAGTTGAACAATTTATCTAATTAAGTTGAGTTTTTTCTAACTGTGAAGTATAATTATATATAATCCACTTGTAAATATTTTATAGTTTTTAAATAAGCATAGACGTATAGTTTACGAATACCATGTATAATATAGATATATATAACAGGACCTCCCTGAAAAACACTTCGGTGAGTGGAGCTTCCTGAATAAATATTATTATTATTACTAATATCGAAAGATCTTAGAAGTGATGCGAATGCATAAGGTGAATGCTTGCATAGTTATGTTGTATTGGTTGATGACTGAAAGCGGAAAGGTAATTCAAAATAACATATTCGATATCTTGTCATATTGCCTATCTTTATCGTTTTATTAAATATCCATTTGCCATATCAGGTACACTTAACTAGCTTTCGCTTACGAAGTTATAAACTGATTGGCACAAAGTCAGGTCTTACGCTACTAATAAAACCAGGCCCATATATTTTTGGCCACTACAGTTTATTATGCAGTGGTTTATTATTCAATCATATTAATCTTTTTCTATAGCGAACATGTTCACCCCAAACAAACCAAACGGCGTTGCTACTGGACTGTTTGTTGCAACATTTTTGAACTGGCTTAAATTAGGCTTTGAAGAAACGACTGATGCGCATGAAATAGAATCTAATTAATATTTTGTTGACATTGTAAACACAACCATATATAAGCAACACTGGCGTTTGAATATTGTTTAATTTTATATAGACAATTCAATTCAATTCAAAAGTCTTTTTAATAGATCAAAAGATAAAAATACATATCTTATGTTACAAGTACATATTAAGAATACATTAGTAAAGTTTACATCATATGAATAGGTTATAGTTAAAAAT